TGTGTAAAACCTTGGTTTTTATGTGCCACTTTTTTCTCAACTATTTTGTTTTAGAATCCCTGATGACATCTTAATTAGCATATTGTGGATTGATTCTTGCACTATTCTTTCAACAGAAGCCTAACCCATTGACTGCTGGGTTGATTTTGACTCATAGTGACCTTATGGGACAGAACAGAGCTTCTAAGGTGGTAAACCTTTATAGAAGCAGACTGTGTCCCATCTTTGCCATTGAGCAGTAAGCTGTTGGGCTTGGACCATCTAATCGCCTTTTGATTAGCAGCAAAGTCCTTTAACCACTGTGCTTCCAGGGCCCTTTTTTGGTATCTTGATTCTAGGAAATGTTGAGTTTTCGACATTTCAATACTCCGCTTTTGCTCGTGATGTGGTGTCTGACTGTGCTGCCTTGCTCTATGACAGGTGCTTCTGTGTGTGTGTGCTCCAGGGCTCATCCTCCCATTTGCCCAAGGCCTTGTCAGAGTAACTCTCCCTGCTCCGTGCATCTTCCCTGCCCCCTTATCTTCCTTGACCCATATTAAGAATAAACAACAAATGTCATCTCCGTTTACAGTCTCTCTTCTGTTCTTCTGAGCAAAACTCTTCTAAAGCGCCACCTCTACCCGCTGCATCACTTTCTTATCTGTTCTCAGTTGACCCATCACTGAATTAACCCTTATTAAGAGATGCAGTTTGCCATAAAGTGCTGTTTCCAGTCCTCATGTTATTTGGTCTCTCCTAAACATTTGATACACCTGACCATTTTCTCCTCCTTGAACCACTTCTTTACACTTTTGTGCCTTCACATCCTTTTTTTCTTTTTGCTTTATGGCTGCTCTGTTTACCTCTGCTGGATTCTCTTCCCCTGCTTTCTGCTACAGTTTGGAGTGCCTCAGCTGTCACAGTACTCTGCCCTGTCCCCATCTGTAGTGACTCTCACCAGGTGACTTTTCATCAGTTCCATGCCCTGCAGCTTGGTCAGCATACTGACAACTTCCACATTCTGAGCTTCAGATTTGTGTGTGCACTCTACTATTGGATGTTCCCAAATGCAGGTCTAAAAGGCATCTCAAGCTTAGTATGAAAAACGCAATTTAAGATTTTTTATTCCTAGATCTGTCGTCGTTCTTTCTTATCTCAAATGAATGAATCCATTCTTGTCTTTCCCAAAATATCCAAATCTACCAGTAAATCTCCTTAGCTTCTTGCTAGTCTCTCACTATCGTCTGTGCTTCAGTGCTGTCTGAGCTACCTGTACCATTCCTTATCTTCCTAATTGGTCTTCGTATTTCCTTACTTTCATCCACATGATAGCCAGAGTGGTCTTTGAAAAGTGGAAGTAAATACTTTCGCTGCTTTGCTTAAAAATCCAATGACTTTTTAGATAAATTAGAATTAATTTTAAACTGCTTAATAGGGCCCACGTGACCCGGTTCTTAATATAATTAGTTTATTGAAGAGCAGGAATTCAAGATCAGTCTTGCATCAAGGGATGCAGATCATAGAAAATCTTGACAAACTCAGTTTATACAAGGGGGCTTTAAAAAGTTCACAGGAAAATGGTCTTAGGAGACTTTACGTGAGCTTTTTGCATATTTCTTTAATTTTTTTATGTATTTTTCTAAGACTGATTGGCTTGAGAGTGCATCTGTGTTCTGTAGCCTCTCCTTTTCTGGCTTCCCTTCCATGGGAGCCCTTCCAGGAACTTCACAAATCCTCTTACTGGTCTGCTGCCCTCGGGTGAGAAGCTCTCACTTGTTGAGAAACGATTAGGTAGCAAGTTATTTTGCAGTTAAGAGAGCTTTTCATTCTTTACATAATTTTTAAAAATCACAATACAGTATAATTACAAAAAAATTAGTACCCATGAGGTGGAGGCTAAAGATGTCCCAAACTTTTCCAAAATGCTGTGCCATTCCATTATTCCTGATATCAGCCACCAGTTCTCCTTTGAACAGAATTGAAGAGCGATTCAATGGAGGCATTAGCTGGTATGTGATTACAAACCTTGGCCATCTGGCATAGTGATTTTTGGTGTGTTACCTTGTTCAAAGAGTTGAGATTCC